TTGTTTGCCTGCATGATGTGAAGTGCCTAAGGCATGAAATTAAATGGCTCTTTTGATGAAGATGAGGACTTATTATTCTGTCTCTTTCTTGTGCTGTCTTTGGGATGGCATCAAAGGGGAACAGGGAAGGGAATCTCCGTACACTGTCTCTCCCTTCCATTGATGGGATCATCCACTTCATGAAGCTTTCCCACTCCACACAATTCACATCTAATCCATTGTCTCCATTTGGCTCTGAAGGGATGAATGTACAGTTCTTGTGTTGCCCCCATTTTAAAACAGTATTGAAAGAAGCCAGGGTCACCATCATCACCTCGTGAATGCTTATCAGGGTTGAGGTAGAGTTTGCGAACCAGCAAGGAGTGATGACACCACATGGCCTCCATTTTGGGTATCGTCTTCCCAAGCACCCTTGTACCAGAGAAGAGTTCTAGGCACCGCTGCCTGCCCCAATCTGCAGACAGTTTGTGGTGGCGGGCACTGACAAGGGCAGGCCTGGTTTGGGAGGGCTGCCACAGTTCCCCACAGTGGAAACCAAGAGGGCTCTCTCCACCCTAGGAGATTTTCACCCGGAGTGGGTGCATATCCCTTACTGCTTGCCAACTCAGTGGTTACCAGGCAACACGATGACACAGTGGGTTATCAGATGACAGGTGGGTCACCCGATATAGATCTGCTCCTGACGCTGCCCTGGTGCTCTGCTGCAGTGGCCAATACAAGCAGTGGCCTTTTAAAAACTACTATCTATCTTTCTACAATAAAGCATCCAAGGTCAGCAATGTACGTCCCTCAACTGATAGGATGGAGGTGTGTGTTTGTTGTCCCAGTTTTTTTCTCACCTGGGTTTAAAAACAAGAACTTCTTGCAAATCCCAAGCTCCTGTCTTGGTCACTGAGAAAGGGAAAGAAAAAGCAAGTATTTGACCGTGTTAGTTTATTCCCCCTTTCTCCAGTAAATCAGTCCCAAAGGACATTGCGCTCGGCAGCTATTCTCTTCCGTTGCATAAACTGTAGAAACAGAACTGAGCATCACCCATCATTTTTCATCTGGATAGCCTGCTGTTTCGAAGGAGACAACCAACAACATCTTTCTGCCAAAGCAGCATCTTCCAGTGACCTGCCAAGAAGACTGGATTCTCCAGGCTCTCTTCTGTATTAGACCTTCAACAAAACTTTTGGCTGTTTTTCAGAAAGTGACTTCAGTGAAGAAGTGGGATAATGGTTCATCATATTTTCCCTACTTTTATTTTCAAGATTAATCCCAGGCCACTTACATGAACAACATGAAAACACGCAGAGACAAACAACTTTCAGGCTCCCCTGTGTTGACGTTATAACCAGACAGTAACACCTTGTTAACCATCATTCACCCAAACATCGGAGTGGCAAAATACCACACATTTGCTGGAACAATTTTGATCTATGCAATTCAAATAAAACTGTACATGACAAGGGATTAAAACAGTGATGGCAAACCTATGGCACGCATGCCACAGCTGGCACGCAGAGCTCTCTCTGTGGGCATGCGAGCCATAAGTTGCCATCAAGAAATACTTATCCATCCTCCAGTCCCAGATTTCAGAAAGAACTCTAGGGAAAGGAGGGAGAGACAAGATGGCAACGGCTGCCACAAACACCCACCCACATACCCGGATGCAAGGCATGGAAACACCCGGCTCCTTCTGCCTGCACCTTTAAGGACTGCATCCAGAGGTGGAGTGGGGAGTGTCCCGGGCCGGTGCTGATGGTTGTGCGGCCGAAGGAGTGGGACTTTTTGAGATGGCTGTGGTTGGCTTTGTGTTGCAGTTTGGGCACTCAGGCTCAAAAAGGTTCGCCATCACTGGACTAGAACCTGGTGGCACTGCTGATAAGTACTGACAAATGTCACAGCATGATATTTCGGTCTGGAAAAATTCATTACTGTGATGGCTCAAAATGTGCCAGTCGGCTCAGGATTGCCCAGAATAGGTAGGATTTGGTAGTATAAATGTGTTCAAATAGCTGCTAATAGACAAACAAGCTTTTTAGGCCTAGCCACCTGGCTTTATTCAGGTGGTTTCCCTGCAGCTGACTTGCAGGAAAGTGTGTTGAGAGAATGACAACGGATCCCATGACCTCAGGAGGTGGTGAGCGTTTCAGTGGTGCAGGCATTCAAGAGAAAATTGGGCCACCCTGTCAGATCTGCTTTGATTTGCGTTCCTGCCTTGAGCAGGGGGTTGGACTCGATGGCCTTCTAGGCCCCTTCCAACGCCATCATTCTATGATTCTATCGGTGGTTATAGCTGTGTTGTCTGTTTTGTTTTTACATTTTTTACAATACAGTGGTGCCTTACTTAATGAGCGCACTGTACAACGACGAAATCGCATAGCAATCCCTTTTTTGGTATCGCTAATGCGATCGCTCAACAAGTTTTAGATAGGGCGAAACTCGCTCTACGAAGGTCGGTAAGCGGTTCGCTTACTGACCTTCGCTTTGCGACGTGCCGATCAGCTGTTTGGTGGGTCCAAAATGGCCGCCGGAAGCCCCAAAATGGCCACGCGCAGCGTTTTCGCACCCTCGTTAAGTGAGGGGAGGGCGTGAAAATGGCTGCCGGCCATCCTGGAACATCGCTGAACGGTGAGTAAAGGAGCCTTTTGGAACGCATTAAACGATGTTTAATGCGTTCCAATGGCTTTTCCTGCCCCGTTTAGCGATGTTTCGCTATAGCGAATGTTAATCTGTACTGAGAGTGACCAGCATCTCACCTCCGCGAAGATTACACTAATTGTCCAAAGATATAATGAAAATGTGATCACCATCATCAAAGATTACATATTTACTTAGAAATATTGTTTCTGATATTTTATTAACTGAATCCATCTGAAGAAAAATAGATATTTATTCATTTGAAGTATTACCCATCAACTTTAAAATTAACATACTCATTATTAGATTTAAAAAAGTAAGATAAGAGTCTTAAAAACATTTCCTTATTTGGCTCCTCATGTTATTTACGTTCACTAAATAGCTAAAATGATAGCTTTAAAAGAACTTTGAACCACTTCAAAGAGGACATTTTTTCAAGAAGCTTGTTTTCTAACCACATTTCAATCACACCACCCATAGAACAACATATTGTCTAATAAGCAAGCTGATCCCTGGACTCAAGCTACCAACGGGTGGTTCACACACATGATTATAAGTTGATTGGAACATCAACCAATGATATATATGTCTCAATTTACCATCAGAGAGAACTTTTTTTTATCAACCAGGATCCCCTCAAATGCAACACTTTTTAATGGAGACAGTTCACCTGAGAATCCAAAAGTTATGAGATATGATGTAATGTCTGCATGCGCTGGTGGAAAAGCCCTAAGCCATTAAACTGGAGACAGTGCAGCATGGAGGTTAAAGTGTTCTAATGTCCAGGGCAGTGCAAGAAAATGATAGTTCTCAAAAAAAGAGATAGAAGAAGTTGGGTGCCTTAGCAATATATATAAGAATGGTCACTGTAAGATGTATCATGACAGACACGGGTACAGACCAAAGCTCCATGTTCCCAAAGATTCCCATTGTCTTCAACAGAAGAAACATTCCAGATATACACAGGTTTTTCCAGATGGCATTTGCAGTGTTCTCCATTCATAAGAGGAAGTCACAGCAGATGCTGATTGATCCAACTTGGCCTTCAGTGCAAGGAAGTGGTTCTGACTTTTCCTCAAATTTGTGCTGATCAAGTAAGACAGGAAGATAAAAAAAAATTGCAAACCGAGTAATATTCCAGAGCATTCCAACATGTTGGAGGCCTGCTTCTTGTGCTGCTGTTGAAAGCCTTTTGAGTGAACTCAAAGGTACCACACCCATGACCAAAGATCCATGGAAAAAAAAACACAAACAAGCTGGAAGACAAACATCTGCCCTTCATGATGTCATGGCTGGAGCCAATGGTACAGTCTGCATCTTTCTGCCAAGAAAGCTGCATGATGTGTAATTAAAACACGACCTTTTGTGCAACTGTAGGCCTAGATGTGATCCTGGAGGATGCCAGCACAGTAAATGTACCCTAAACTAACAAAAATTCAAATTCAATTCTCCTTTATGAGAAAATCTGATATTTGTGACCTACATTATGCACATTTCCCCAACATTTTTTTAAAAATGCATAAATTATTCTCTTCTTGCGGAGTTGCTAAACAGGAGTCTTGAAGGTTCTTTTAGTAGAAGGTTGTGCTTTCTGAGATTTCAGCAGACATTTTCATAACTCTTAGAGGCTAAAAATTTGTCTACTCTTTGAAGAGAGATTGTTTTGTGGTCAGACTGGATGATAAAAGAAATGAATATTCCCATAACAAGATTTTCTCAAAAATACAATTCCGGGCAACCAAACTTGTCAGTTAAGCCTGTTTCTACTAAGAGTAGCCAATGACAAACAAAAGCAGACAGGAATGCAAGACAGGAAGGTGAAGTAAAGGCATGTGTGCAAGAGAAAGTGCCATTTAAGGGAGCACTGCCTCTAAATATGAGCTATTTACATCATCGAGTTTGACCCTTGAAAGGTAAAATTTATAGCCCTTCTATTCTGAATCACAGCCTACACATAGCCCTGAGTATAACATGGCTATGCCTTTCAAGATAAATAAAAGCGATGAGATTTCAGTGACTTTAATAAGAGCACCCAGCCATTTCATTATCCAGTCAAATACTATCTAAGAGAGCAACCTACCAGGCATCCTATGGGCGTTTCATAATAGGTTTAACCAAAAACATGACTACGTGAGTATGAAAACCGTCCTTAAAGGCTTCCAACCTTCAGAGCATCCTATCAGCGAACAAATGAACTGCCAAGTAACTGAGGCCTGCTTATGACAGTTATATTATAACTCTCAGGAAGAAAGGAACCAAGTATTTCATCATCCACAATGATGTTGTTCCAAGGAAGACAACAGACAATTTCATATTAATCCTTTGCCAGTGTTTTCACAATTCGGGAGGTATTTTGTTTCTTTTTTTTAAAAAAAAATCTATATAATGTGACAGTTGCAAGATATACTTCCCATTAAAGAAGCAACAGATTTTTAAAAAAGAACATTCCTACGATTTTACAGAAATTTATTTCACCTCAGTCCACGTGCTCCAAATCTTCACTTGGCTAGGCAATAAACCATATATGAAATATCTATATAATCAAAATATTTCATCAAAGGACATCATACTGCACTTCAAAGTTCATGTCAGAGTAACTTGAATTTTTTAAAATATACTTAATATTTTCCAAAACTATAATCCATTAAAAATGGTAGTGGTGTTATACATTGCAAAAAAAGTACTGCTATGTGTTAAGTGGAGGCAGAAACATAAAACCTGTTAATGTCACACAACAGGATGTGGCAAGAAGAGATTCTTTAATTTGGGCCACTCTTGGAGCACATTTCCCAGAAGACGTTCCAAGGCATCCTTCATAAAGCTACAATTACTCTCCTGCGCACGGTTAAGTCCCTTCACATCCTGCTGACTACTATCGAATTTAAGCAGTGTTGCCTGAGGTGAAATAATATGCACGTCTCTTATCATTATGCCTCCCATCCACTTCAAACAACACAAAGCAAGAACAAAAGGAAACCAAGGAAGAGGAGGAGAGGGACGATGGCCCTTAAAAGCATTCAACCTTTCAAAAGCGAGCATATGACAAGCTTAGGGGTTATATGGCTAAGGGGCTTTTGAGCTGAGTTGCCAGCCATGCTTGGTTTATCCACATTTGGTCTCTGCTCATATTAAGGATGTCATCAGTCCAAAGGGTTTGAACAACAGCTTCCAGTATGACAGAAACACATATACACACACGCACACGCGTGCGCACGCATGCACATACACACACACCCTGGCAGTTTCTGCTCAGGAAGAAACAATTAAATAATGAATCCAGTCACCCATCCTGTCCCCTGGCTGCGACATCACTCCTCTATATTCTCTGTACTACAGAGTCTTTAATAACCAGATACCTGTAAGTAGCCATGCTGACCGAGTCTCCTGGCATTCTGATTTTACTTGATTTTTTCTGTCTTTGACAAAAGGTCTCAGACCTCTTGTGGCCACTCCATAAATGTCGGGGAGATTCAGGACGATATTCTGCACAGTCCAATGCGCTGGGGCCATGTTTCACTCTATATGACCTCTCTCATCTGTATGTACCCATCCAAACATCTGTATCACGGCAAGACTGGACAGCTGCAACTACCTCCTGACCTGGGCTTTGAGACCCAAATATGTGGCTGAGAAGACAAACCGCAGCTTCAAAGTATTAAATGCATCATCATTGGGGGGGGGGGGAGAGGACCAAAGTGAGAGCCTGTCCACATGGGTGTTTGTCCCACTGTTTGGTGCACTGATGGGTCAGGTTAGTCTACTCTTTTTTCCAGCATCCACACATGGACATTGCTGGAACAAACCAATTTCCCCCAACCAACACCTTTTTGAACTGTTAGAGGGTTATACCATTTTGGTGCAGGTTGGAGGGCTCCAGTTTAGTCAGTTCTAAGTGAGTGCAATCACTTGGAAGAGACTAAACTAGTCTTGCAGCTTCTTCCAGTGGCAATTTCCAATATCCTGAAGTGGTATATGAGCCTCTTCAGGGTATCAGAAATTGAACACTTCCCCTGATCGTCTGTGGAGGGTCAAGGGAAGTGAAATTATTTTTTCATTGCATCTGCTAGATTGTTGCTAGTTTAAGCACTTTGATTAAATTATTTTTTTTCCTTTGCCTGTCTGTATTGCTGATTGAAACAGGGCCTGTGGGCAGTTTTTTGACTGGCAATACATAGACAAGCAAAGAAAAGCATTTTTAGAAATTTAATCAAAGTGATACATCACACCAGTGACGATCTAACAGATGTTTTTCAAAAAAACAATTTCACTACCCCTGACCAACTGCAGACAATCAAGGGAAGCTTTTAATTAACACAAAAGCCTATATGCTGTTCAGATGGAAAGAGTGCACGAAACAGCACACTGCTCCTTCCCCCAATCTCGGCCAGCTCTTTGCAGCCCAGCCCAGCCCACACCAAAAAAACACAGTCTGGACAGGCCCTAAGTAAAGACTAGAGGCCTTTGGGATCAGCTAAGTGCCTAATTTCTTCATAAAATACCAATCAGCCGCTGCCATTAATATAAACTCTATGGAGTTTATCCCACTATCAGTATGTATGCCAATACACACATACACACAGAACTGCTGCTTAAGCATTCACTTCACTGAAGCGGTTACATCAATGTATGGAGAAAAAAAACCCAGACTCCTTCATTCCAAGCAAAGAAAGCCTATGCGATCACGGAAACTTCATGCAAGGGTCTAGATCCCTGTGCCTGCAGGAGACTTGAGAGACCCTTCTCATCTCTTACGACAGGTTCCTTGTAGGAGCAGATAGAGAAGAGGCAGATGTATCTTGCACAGTGCTGGCTCTAGGATTTCCAGCAGCCTTGCCACATGCCCAGTTTAAAACGTTGCAGATTTATATTTATCCTTGTCAGAGTCAAACATTGCACAGTAAATAAGAAGAATGATGTTCAATTATTGCATTGTTTTTCAATATCAAGGTTGCATTTGTTGGCTGCACTTAAGACAACACAAGTACTGTGTGTTTTATACAATATGTACAGGTTCTTGCGAAAAAGCAAAATGGCTTCAAAAAACAACCCAGTCACAATACAAACTGCTGGGAAAAAATAATTATAATTATAATAATTTCTTTCACTCCCTTCATATGAAATAACTGCCCACTTTATCTACACAGTAGAAACTGAAGAGGCAACAGCTATCTACCTCGATATTTATATGTACAAGACCTATTCACACATGCGCGTGTAACTAGAGCATGATTGATCCCTATTTAGTGTTTCTCTGAATGTTGAAAATCCAGAACTCAAAAAAAAATTTAAAATTTCAATTAATGGGCATGACCTGCTCCAGTGTACAAACAACTAAGAACAAATGCTCATGTGCTAAGCTACGCGAATGTATGGGCACATGTGAGAAACACACTGATATTCATTGCAACTTTCATGGACAACCACCCCCAGACCGACAAAGAAAAGTTCTTCTGCGCACATGAAGTCATCCACTCAACACATCACAAGGTATGGGAGGGGAAAAAGCAGTCTTCCATGATCAGCCATACAATTTGTCAGCTTTAAAGACCACATTGTCCAAGTCATGAAAGGTTTTGCCATTTAAATGTTCACTGGTGCAGTCGTGATTGTAGGTGAAGCTTTGACCATCAGTGATTGAGGAGGAGACTGTATATGAAGCCGAGCGAAGACCATCTGAATGGGCAAAACTGTGCTCAAATTGGATCCTGTATTGGTTCCAGTGTCTCCTCAAAACAGACTGGACCTATTCCATTTGGGGAGGAAAACAATGAATAGATATAAGTAAAAACAAAACAAAACATGATCATACACACACACACACACACACACTAGACAGACTGACAGATATACTGTACTGTATTTATGTGACATCAAGTCACCTCCAGCTTATGCCAACTCTAACAAATATGGGAAATGTTCAAGGAGTAGTTTGCTATGGCCACCCCTCGGTGAGTTTCGAGAGCCAAACAGGATTTGAACTCACATCTCTGACCTAGTATATATTTGCAGTGTATTAAGTGTTGGACAAGGACTCAGCCGATTTGAGTTCAAATGCAGTGTTTTGGAGGGTTTTCTGAGAAGTGAAATTAAAAGCAAGAGAAGGTTAAAGCAAGAGAAGGTTACCCACATAGCTTCCCAACTTGTTAACACTGCTGCTGCACACGCAGTATTCTCTGTGAAGAACACCCACCGTCCTATTGGGCAATGGCAACACTTGCACACATAGCATGAGCCCACATTGCTATGCTGGTGAGACTTTCCACTCAGAAGTGGTTCCATCCATCCAACCCTGGCCACGGTATTATCCCACCGAAGCTGAAACGCAAATGCAGGCCTAGGCAATGGTCTCTGGGCACTCAATAGCAGAGTCTCTTGGAGAGCTTGTGGGAACCTATGTACCAAAGCTTGAAACAATTACTTTTGTGGCCTGCGAGTGTGACCTTGTGGACTGCAGGATACTGGGTGATGTAGTCCTAACATTAATTTTTCAAAATTCTGCCTGTCCTGTACGTAGCTGTGAGCAACCATGGGCAGGGGTTGGATTGACATCCAAGTATTATATTATTATATTTCCCTGGAGATCTTGACCCCTGTCAGATGCTCAGCTGGCGGGAAGGCACGAAGAGGTATGTGTTGGCTTAATTCTGGCAGGAGTTTTTCAATCAGCAACCCTGAGTCACATTTCCATCAAGCTGGTGGAAAAACTGTTTCCTGAATAGAGTTCAGCCTGCTTTTCTACCTTGGTTAAAAATACATTGGATAAAATAGATTGAAGGCATATGACGCCTGCATTTTGTTTATCCATTGCTTTGGAAGGATGTTCTGTTTTACAATAGTTTCCGTTTAAACAATGTGGCAGGCCACCTGTGCAACAGGAAGTTTGATTTAGTAGGGACCTTGGTAAAATGTACATAAAATCCATCTTTTCCAAGAAACAGTTGAAATGAGGAATGACATGCTGCAAAATGTGCTCTGTTAGAGGGTGTTTTTTCCCTCCCCCAAGAGGGAGGGGAGTAGAGCATTTGTGCTTCAAACATGTCAGCTACACCGAAGTAATGTTACCGTTGTTGTACGTAAATTATAGCAATATCATGCTTGCACATAAATTGTAGCAAAGTATCACTGTGATGATAGCATACGAAGGATAATGTCTGATGTTAAATAGTTCCCTACCCCCCCCCCCGAAAAAAACAGGAGCACCGGTATGCTTCTGTACCTAGTTTATGCAGGGCCAGCTACAAAAAGAGGTAAGATATCTTAAAGGGTGAAGGAAGTTGACAGAAAGAAGGCTTCCTGGCTCTTCTCCCCACTCACAGGCCTCTTCCCTCGCCTGGCCTTACATTGTTTAGGGATCACCAACCTCCTGGAGAGGCTTGTCAGGCAAGAGTGCAGGTGGTTGCAGGGAGAGGGGAGAGGGCAGGAAACTTTGCCTCCATGAGTTTCCTCAACTTCCTTCAGGATCCAAGCCAGAGCTTGGTTTCCAGACTGTGGCTCTCCATGGGATGAAGGATGGTTGGGCTGGGGCGAGTGCACTCCTCTTCTTCATGTATCCCGTTTCGCTTTAGTAAGAGTGGCTGAATAGGGCTAAGGGGTGGCAGGAACAGGGCCTCCTGCTCAAAGTTTGACTCCATTTTGGTTTGTTTACTGAAGGCCTCCACGGGGGATAGTAATCCTAGCCTGTGCAAATACAAAAAAAAATGGCAATTTGCACAAACAAGTGTTCAGTGTGGCAACAGAAGGTGTTAAGTATCAACTGTTTGTGGTGAAGGTGACAGTTCACAACAGGGAGGGAACAGTCTGGGTTTTCTTTTCTTTTTTTTGCCATGCTAAAATACTTGTTCTGCAACCACCCGGGTGGCAATGGAAGTGCCACGTGGTGAGTACACCACGCAAATGGCTTGCCATCTTCATCTGGCTCACAGGTGGACCAAGCACAGTCTCTGCTCCACGTGTGGCCCACAAGGCCATTTTGTGGCTCCCTTGGAGCCTTTCATTTTTGTGCATGTGTGATATAAAAAGTATGGTGAATGAAGTTTTGTTTGTTTGTGGACTGGCATCTTTTACGTGAGACTGGTCAGGGCACTGCCCAAACCAAAAGACGCTGGGCCTTTACCTCTAATTTTCTGATTCTCACTGGACATTTTAAAAAGTTTATTTATGTACTTACTTCCTTATTGCTGTTTCTAGGCAATAAGGCGGCCTGCTTGAAGGCACTGCGGGTGAACATTGGATCCACCTCAAGTTGTTTAATCCTGATTTTCTTTAAAAAATGTGGCCAGCTTGCCAAGCATTCCTTGATGAGACAACCTGCCTTTTAAAAGAATGCTCAGTTCCACCTTGTGAACCTACAGGAGTTTTAAAAATACCTTTTAGGGCACATGTTTAGTTGCTATGAGGTAGCATCCAGACCCAACACGTCTGACCCTATATGTTATTTCATATGCAGTGCACTCCAGAACGAAGCAAAATACATGTCCTGCTATTGAAAAACAAACAAAAACAAATGCTCATGGGTTCTTTGTCATATTAAGGTGAGTGATAAGGAATTTCTTTAAAGGTTTGGCTATTCTCAGACTAGGCCTACTTTAAAGTCACTTGATTTCAAAGAATTCCCGAAACCTGTCCTAGAGCAAAATAAATTTGTAAACTGTACCTCTCCATTGAAGAAGCAGAATATTGTGGCCACCAGCAAGCCCTGCAGAATAAAACAAGATATTTTCATTTAAAAAAACCCCATAGCATTAGCATCACTATCTGATGAGAGAGAGAAGAAAAAAACTGAGCGGCTTTGATTAGGTCCAAAGTAGCTGAGCTTGAATGGGAAGGGCTTTCCACATGGGCAAGACAGTTCTGCTCAACCCCTTCCATTTTACTGTCCCGTCTATCATTCCATGCGATTCCATAACATCTCTCAATCAACAGACTGAGAGATGTAGGAGTTGCAATAGGTGAGGGGGAGCTAGCGACGCCCTGCTGCTGGTTCTTCCCTGCATCCCACCCGAAGATTCATGTTGGGAAGAGACAAAAGCTTAAGGGGGAACTTCTTGTGCCATAAAGCGGAACTGTTTAGTAGGAAAGAAAGAAAAGGGTAGATATGCCAGCAGACTGGAGATTGAGCAAATGGGCAATGCCACTGAGTATTACACCTTTTGCAGGTCAGACCACTTCATTTCCCCCATGTTCATGGGTTTTAAACTACTTGAACAAATACAAATATATGTAAATATTTCATAATATTAGGACAAAGATTGAAGTGTGTGGGCTTGGTTCAAAGCAGATCATTTGTAAGACAAATAATTTGGACCAAATCAACGCAGATATATCCCCATTTGCCTTGGTTTAGCTAAAACAGAGCCCCAAAGTTGACTTCTCTCTTGCTGGCCCTTTGCATCCTGATGAAACTGCAGGTCTGGTGCCCTGTTTGTTTTCTTGTCTGTAAACTGTTGTTCTTCATTCTGGAAACAGACTCCCTCTGAATTTGCCTCTGTGGCAAATCTGCTTAGCCACACAACAATGCTGTAGGTTGGGAAGAAGAACCATTTACAAACAAGTAAAAGAACAGGGCCAAATCTGCCATCGATAGGGCCTGCAAGGAGCTTCTTCTTACAGGTGGCACTGCCAAGATACTAGGTACTAAGGAAAGCCTCCATGTGGATCAAGGACTAAGTAAGTATTTTTACTGCCCTTTCAGATCCTTTGAAAAATTTCTCCACCGGTTGAATTTCTTTGGAACAAAAAGCACCCAGTGAACTGCACTGCACATCGAGATCATGTGAAAATTCATAGCATTCGTTTTAAAAAAATACCAGTTAATTCATTATACCAGAAAGAAACACTGGGAAACCTGTCAAGGCCCACATTTGAAGTTTGGATATGGGAGTGATTAAAATGTGCCTATCACTCATTTTGCAGAAAGTTTAACAATGAACCCCCCGAAAACGGCATTGACATCTTTAGACATGATACCTGATAGTGCATAAGGATATGCATCACATAGTCATGAATCTCTTCAGCGATCCGGCCTTCTGGTCGCCAGGGAAAGAGTACAAACTCAATGCCAAGAAGTGGCACTAGAATGAGGGTGGCTCTGACAGCCTTCATGTAGAGGTTGGATTCGGCCTGGTGGGTAACTTTGAGCTTGGTGATCAGAACACGAACAATGTTCAAGAGGAAAAAGAGATTCACCTGCAAGGAAAATAAAAAATAATCTACTAATTATTTGCCTTAATTAAATTGCCTTAATTAAACAAACAAGGTGCCAAGCTCTCATGTCAAATAGCACTTGCTAAGCCAATCATTTCCTTCATGAGGGAAGCTCAACATCCTAGAAAGGGGCCTGGAATATCTCTGTGGGAACAAGACTACTGTTTCTAAAACAGATGATAAATTAGCACAAAACCTGTCACTGCTTAAGATGAAGGAGCTGGCCTTCAAGTCCCTGACAAGAAGGAAAATATCTCTACCCCTTTAAGCAGGTTCATTATGCTATGCTGTATGCGTTAACCCTGAATGAAGTATATTTTGTTTGCCGCAAGTTTGGCTAGTTTTCTGTTCTTCCCAAAAACTATGACCAAATTTTCAATATGTGTAGCTGAGTAAAGCCTTTCATTTGCTCACATGGGATTCAATGAGACTGAAGATCACTTATTTGCCTCTTAATCATACTGCACATTTAACAGCACACCCTTCCTAATTAGGTTAAAATTAACATTCCATGACTCCTTACTTCTCCACTTGCTCCACGCAATAGTCTTGGGAGCTACGCATTTCAGAGCTGAGGCACAAATATTTAGGCCTATTGACCACTGCTTTAGCGTGACGGTACTGTTAAGATACAGCTCTGCGACTTTTCATGGGAGTGGAAAGGAAAAATAAAGGCAGATTTCATATGGACAGAAAAGTGAGGCCTGTTTCAAAAGAGAATGCAAGAGCATAAACAAGAGACATGCCAGTCCTTAATCATGTCAGAGGATGCAGAAATAGGCAAGGAAGTTATCCGTCTGGACTATATCTAGTGCTTTATTTAGAGCTTGGGGAATTTCTTTTCTGGGCTATAAAATCTAGAATCATCTAATTGCCTTTAAAAAAACAGTTTTCCAAACACCTGTGTTGTCAAATCTATGCTAGAGGGTACAAGCCCACTATTTCTAGATTTTTCTTTGACTTCTCTTTACAGGCGGGGTGTGAACAGGGGCTCAGCAACAGAGTTTGTGCCCTTGGCTTATTTATCACGAGGTCACCAGCCTGTGTTTTTGATAGAACCCGGACAAAATTAATGATTGTGTCATATACTAAATGTTTCAATCCGAATCATAACTTCTTAGGTTATTATCTCATGGAGCAGACTTAACCGGGGCCACGGCTGGCCAAACAATCAGGGCAATGAAGTGGTTGTCACAGGCAGTAGAATGTGAGGAGGCAGAAGGGCAGCAAATTCTGCCCTACTGACAATTGGAACGGATTTTCCCATTTACAGCAGCTTACCTTTCCCCCTTTATAGCCCATTGTGCCTCTCTTTCTGCTTTCCCTACCACCCTTAGCCTCCCGCCCTCTCCCGCAGTGATAGTGGCTCTTCCGTTTTGTTTGCTTTCCCTTCTCTTCCTTTCCCTCTGTGCCTATTACTGAAGGGTGAAGGACCAACACAATGGCACCTCAGGCCAGCAGGAAGAACCCCACAAAGTGAATAAGGAGACAAGAAGGAGGGCAGAGGCCACATGGCGCAGGGGGCTGTGAGTAATGCACTGTATAGGCAGACAGGCGCTGGGTGGGGTTGCATAAAGAGGCTAGAGCAAAGAATTTACTACTGCCTCAAGCCACTGGAGACATTAGGTTACCCCTGGTGGTCAACACTCCATGGGTACAGGAGCTTTAGTCCAAATAAGCATGCATGGGGGATCTGTTGTCAGCTATCTGTTATTTGCTTTTGAAATGGGCAAGCAGAACAATGCAATATGTTCTTATTTAAAAGCTCCTACCAAGAGAGCAGCACAAATTGGACCATGGACAATGTACAATAGATGAGTGTCTGAACGGATCCAGCAGCTGCAGAAGAGAAAAAA